ATTTGTTTAGCTAGAAGCATTTGCCGAAGAAACCGGTGCCGGTAGCAACAAAAACTGCGGGGAACCTTGCAAAAAACGCATCTTCGCACGGGCTGCCCGTGCGTTGGTCAATTATTTATTGATCATTTAATATCTTGTTAGCACTAATTTGCCTACTTAAAATATTAAGAAATTATTGGCGACATGACTGCTGTTGCAGTGAGTAAATCGTCCTCAGCCTACTACAGAGAAACTGTCAGATAAGGTATGCTAGCAGATGGCTATTGTTGGAACAACATATCACTCACGTCATCTTTGTGTGCCCCTTCTCTCACAAGAAAATATACCGAGGCACGAGTACTTTAGTTTTTCCTAATAAACAGGTTTCACTAAGCATTGCTTTAAATTTCAGGTTTACGCAGAAAGCGGAACAGCTGTCCAAAATGATAGCAAAAAGGCCGAACTCAGCTAAGGAGCAATTAATAAGGCACGTGGAATTTGCCGCTGAATTTGGCCAAATACCGAATTTTGATCCGTACGGTAGGAAGATGTCGTTCATATCCTACTTCATGCTTGACATCATTATACCATTCATTTTAATAATAACACTTGTATTCGCAATCTTTTGTTATATGTGTGTTAGATTGTTCAGGAAGTTTATCCTAAAAAGTACTGGACGAAATGAAGAACAAAATGTCAAAAAGGAACAATAAAAATAATAAAGCTTGGCAAAAATCGCACTGGACTTTTTTGCCAAAAAGCATAGGTTTTCATAATTTAATAGATTTTATTGTAAATATTAATTTGGAAAAGTAAAACTGCAACTTCACAATGCAAAGACCAGAAGCGAAAAACTTTTAACAATGAAAAAGATCATCGGCAATTTTTCGGAAAATACGTCGATTAAATGTTCTGCATATTTATAAAAAAATTTTATAATGAAATAAATGTAAGGATAAAAATCATTCCACATTTCATTACCGGAAAATAAGGCATAAATGAGCAATCCGAATGCAATGATATGTTGCCGACACTGCATTTCCGAATAAATTTTTCCAAAACGAATTCTGTTTCTTGTCACTGCTCTTCCCTAAGCGGCTACGTCTGTTTCAGCATTATGTGTTAAAACAATACAATATAAAAAAATTAGATTTTGAATTCAGAAGAGCTGATTTCGTTAAAAATTTCTGTTCATGAACAGGCAACGAATCTGGTTGCTTCAGAAATCAAAAAAATCCTGTCTAGTGCTAGCATTTCTCACATGTTTTTCTGCATTTTTTGACAATACGTGATCCAAAGACCGGATGATCGCAGTGCTTCTTCTGCCGTTCACAACCTTTCGAAAGATTTTTGCAGTTGCATAAGCCACAGGTCAGTTTACATTGTTCGCGAACGTGATGCGCATTTGGTGCCTTGCAATATTGCACATTACTGGTGCATCCTCGATGTGTGTCTCGGCAATCACAGTGCCCGCAGGTTTTCCGACAGCGTTTAATCATATCTTTCTCATGGGCTGGATCATTGCATTTTTCCATTATCTGTGTGCAGTTAGGATCGGCGTCTGAACACGGAGCTGAAAACAGTTTTGTTTTCCTCGAGATCCTGCCAAAAAATTAAAAAAATTGGCCAACGCACGGGCTGCCCGTGCGAAGATGCGTTTTTTGCATGGTTTCCCGTAGTTT